ATTTCTCAAATAATATTTTGAGAATAATAATATGATAATTATTTGTTTTCATGCAATAAATAAAGCCTCTGTAAAAGAAAAGTATTCAAATTTTACATTTAAAAGTTAATTAATAATTTAATTATTCTACAGCTGCTTTATGATTTTGTTCTAATATAAGACAGTAAGTCAATTTGTTAATGAAATTAACAAGACTCCAAGTTCGAACATACAAGTCAATTACGACTTTGGGTCAGTTGGCTAATGACTCTGAAATTCAAATTGTACTTGTACCCTGAGCAGGATACAAGTTCAACTATTGGTGCTTGTTGTCTCAAAAAATTAGTTACGAATAACTATAGATAAGAAATAATTCCAAGACCACTGATAATGGGTATTTGAGAATACTCGAAGCAACTGTGTGATTAGCCAAAAATTCAATTAATGTAAAATAAAATAAAAATTTTGTTGTTGCAATTCAACATTGTTCGAAACCTCTATATAAAATGTATTGTGAAATTATATCTTCCTAACAACTTGTTAATTAGAGTTTATTTTGTTTTTGCGTATCCTATAATTAAAATTAGACATTAGTGATGTGCTTAAGTATATCCATTCTTAAAAATTACACATAATGTGTTTAAATTAATTTCTAATGAGTTTGAAAATAATTTAAAATGACTTAATAATTTAATTTGGTTTTCGAAACAATTTTTTTATTTTAGAAACAATGTCACAGTCCATATTACGGTTTAATATACAGCCGGAAGTGCCTGCTGCATGTGCAAATATGACCGCTGAGTTTTTAAACTGTCCAATTCTCCACATTTACATTGACATCGTCGCACACATGTTGGCGCAATAAAGCATCATTTTACGTAACGGCAAAAAACTTTAGGATTAACACGCTGTTTTTGCAAATTTACACTTCCGATCAAGTACACATTCTCAATCACATTCGCACATGCTCACATACACATACATATTGAATTATGTACCAGTCCAACACCAGTCCAGTCTACATATATATATTCACATCGACATTTCCTTAGTCGCGTTTTATAATTACAGCCAACCAAACTGACCAGCTTACAACCATTTGTGCGATTTTCCCGACACATGCATAAATGCATGCATGCAACAACAAAACTTGTATCCGCTTCCGGTTTTAATACCATAAGGCAAATCCCGTCAACCAAACACTACGAAAATGTTGCACTGAAAAAGTGATGAAAAAACGTTTAAAAAAGAGGCACAATCACAAATGCCGCAAAAAATTATTACAGCTTATAAAAATTTAGTGCCCGCAACTTGCTGTGCTGGAAAGGTCGAGCTCAGGGCGGAGTAGTGAGTGCTCTTCAACATGTAAGCTATGGAAAGTTAACGACATTTGCTTCCGCACACAATTGCACATTCAGGGCTACCACTGGATTAACTTGTGCGATGACGGAAGATGACAATGAAATCGTAGCGGAAAATCAACGTCGATATTTAGAAAATTACAATGCAATCTATTTTTTACCAATTTTTATCATATTTGAGTGCAAGTGATAGAATGAAACGGATGGGTTTACAATCACGTGACCGAAAATATATTGTTCTTATCACTTTTAATCGGTAACCGGTACTAATTACACTACCGGTATAATAGAGTGCAACACAAGTATAAAGAGAATAACGAAGCTATTAAGTATAATGTTAAAAATAGAAAATATCCATACTTACTTACATTTCAATTAATGGAAAATTTAGCTTAGGTGGAATAGAAAATATAAATAAGGGGTATAGATCATTTGTGCGTTACAATCGACCCTAATTGAGCAGAATACTTAGTCTTTCGAGTGAAGGTTGAAATGTCGTACGTTGAAATTTTTTTGTGTTTAAGACAGGGCGAAGGTGCTTCAATTCAAGTATTCTACTTCTGGCCTAGATAAAAGTTATACTATATAGTTACAAATAATCTGGCTAGAATCTTATATGATTTCACACAAGGTCGACATTCTGTCTTCTGGTAAGAGAGAGTGTCGCTTCTTTTTTTTTATTTTATTTGCGGTAGGTGGAAAGCATCGAAAGTCACAGTGTAAGACTTTAACCCACTAAAACCATTTGTTACGAATGGATATATGGAAGATCACAACCACGTCCACTGGCTAAAACCTGATTTCAGGAGAGGTTTAATATTTAGCAAGGGAAATTCATCAAAGCCAGAAAAACATAATCGCAATTATTTAGTGACGAATGGAGTGTCGCTTCAATAGCCACTTCTTTCTGTTACTAAGCACTTTTCCATTAGAGACTTAATTGTGGACCCACTTATTGCACAAACGTAAAGGATTCTACATATAGCCCTCTCACACATTAGTAATGAAACCATTCATAAGGACCTAAGAATTAATAGAAGGAAAAATAAAAATTCACTAGTTATGGATACAACGGGCACCAATTAAAAGGGAAAACTACATAAACACCCTGTCAAACTAGTACTACACAGTTTCTTCAGACGTATTACCTAACGGTGGTTCCTGAAAGACCTCGTCCGTCCGAACTAATACTATACGAAAAAATAAAAAAGGGTGTAAGTTCAGTACTAGACTTAAGTTATTACAAGTGTTTTTTCCAAAATTCTTCAACTGATCGATCAAGTAATTAACCAGTATGTTCTATTGGAGATCAATTCTATAGTATCAATAGTATAAATGTTAGTACATTTTTAACGCACTCTGTTGATTTTAATCTATAAATTTAATTGATTTAAATGTAAAGAGTTCGCGTTGTTTCTAAATCAAATTTTAATTTTTCTTTTTTAAATTTAATTTTTTTATAAATCTCTAAATGATCTAAACATTAATTAAATATATTATTTTTGAGTATTTAATACTTCAAATGCAATGTTTCGTAAAGCGGTTTACCAACTCTAACTTCCACTTTTTCCTCTACCTCTTCAAAAACACCACACTTAAGCAAATATTCAGGCACTTCCAAATGTGGACGAAGTTTGTAAAAATCAACTAATAATTTGACTGTGCTTAAATGAGTAATCCCGGCGAACACAATCCTATACGAAAGTATGAGATCAGAGAAGCAAGTTTTAACTGGAATGTCCTTCTTATGTTGTACCCATGGCAATTCATTAAGTGGGCGCGACCTACCAAAAGCAACTTTAGGTATATTTGGTGGTACGTAGTTTTTACGATCCTCAAGATATTGCAGAAATTGCGTTTCCACTGCCAACTATAAAATAATTGTAAAGTAAACATTTTAAAATGTATCATTGAATTATAATTAATATAATACTTACCTCTGGCATATTCCACCTTTCTGCAACATTTTTAGCAATAGACTTGATTTCTTTGGGCTCAATATATATCGACTGTATGAAGAATCTCTCAGCTTCAATCGCGAACAATTGTTTTATTTTTTCAACGGTCATGATATCCCTCTGGCTGCCAATATTATTAAACCAGGCTATAAACTTTTCTGCTGCCTGTGAATAAGAAAAAAATCACAACAAATAAATCTACTTTTAAATAAAATTATTGTTTGCTTACAGCGTCCATCATTATTTCGGCCTGCACATCCAATGACAAATCCTCTAATTTAGTATCCAATTCATAAATTTTAGTGTTCCACTTAACGCGGTCTCTGCGCTCCTTTTTTAAGTACTGAGTCTCCCAGTTTATTTTTTTTTTCTTTTTTCGAAATAATTCAGGTTTTGGTGGAATATTGAGTCTAAACTTCTTCTCTTCAGCTTCCAACTTTAATATTTCAGAGCACGAGCTTTCCGCAAACACAGATGGTGCCCTTTTAGTTTTCTTATGTAATGGCCCTCTGTGAAGCTTATCTACGCATGGCTTTTGAATTAATTTGGAGATGTCCGCAAAGGCGTTTCTATCGAATTTGTCATATTCGTAGGGAATTATTTCAGCCACACGTTTGCGTAAGGATATTGGTATTGTCAAGGAATAGTCCAAATTCCTTATACGCTCCTCCTGGACTCTCTCATCCCTAAGCACTTCCAACTCATTTGCAAATTTAAGCATAAGATTTTCGCCTTTTTTCTTTTTCGAAGGTTCATTTTGAGTGGTTGTTAAAGACATTTTTATAAATTTATACAAATTGTTAGATATAGCAAAATAAACAATACAAGGATATTTATGAAATTAATATTTTTATTTGTAATTTTATTTTATTTTATTTTATTATTATTAAATGTCAATGAAAACTTAAAAAATGTAAACTTCAGAATGTTAATAAAGGGCGGCGATATAATGCCACAACTACAAGTTTATACATGCCCCAAACACTCAGGACTCTCAGGAAGATATGTTGATTTAAGGTCTATCATCAACTAAAACACAAATAAATGATATGATTTTTTTAGCCTAGTTAAAGCCTAGTGTGGGATAGAGATAAGCCCCCCAGCCATTATAGAGTAAAAGGGCGTAATAGCACTAACTCAAGAAGAAGAAGAATCAAGAATCAAGAAACACTTTCAGGAAAGTTGAAAATACATTGAAAGTAACACGAGGTCTATATGTCCTAATACATCCTATAATAAAAATGAGAAAAAATTAAAAATATCTATAAGAAATGCTGCTGCAGACGTTAGAATGTTATGCGGTTTATGCAATGCAATTTTTAGATAAGTTTGTGGCAGCAAAAACTTGTGCTGATAATTTTTTGCTGATATGCAGCAGTTCCTGGAGAAACATATTATCACTGGAATGTCCCTATAACCCTTTTCCTCAAATTTGACACACCACGACTTTTTTTCATTTCCCAACCTTAAAGAAGGAACGATTGGCAACAATAGGTAGATAAAAATAGGAGTAATAGGTACTGAGGAAGTAAGTCAACCTCATACCTAAAACAAGTTCCATGTGTTTCAACGGGCAAAAAAATATATAATAACCAGTAGCGTATACAGAGTGTACCTATCGTTATATCGAGTGTAAAATGTCCCAAAACATTTCAAAACCTTTGAAAACTCCAAAACTTTCGTACAACGAAATGTCTTTAGTGATGAGGTAATTTATTCTTGGTGAAAAGATCGACAAACAAAACTGCCACATCTGAGGCAGCGAAAACACACAAAAAACCGCTAAAAGGCTATTGCATCCACAAAAAGCTACTGCATGCATCACTATACTTTTTAGACAATGACGTATATTGTTGGACGCACTGTCAATTCCGTTCGCTACAGCCACTTGATGAACAAATTTTTTGGCATGCACTTAAAGTTATGGATGTGGAAGAAGTGTGATTTGAATAATATGGTGTCACACGAAAGCTCCTATTTTAACTTCATCGCAAGAAATTTCTCAGAATTGTACTTTCACATTCTGGTGATGTGGATTGGACACCAAGATTAAATGATTTTTCAACACTTGACTTTTTTGTGAGACTAGGAAAATCAACAAACTTTCGACATTTTGAAAGCAAACAAGTCAAGTTACGACCGAGGTATTGCCAGTTATGTACCAACAAGTCACCAAAAATCACCTCAACAGTTGTGCAATATATTCCGTCGATGACTTTTAAATATTTTTAGTTTTATTACCACATGATAGGAATCGAACAAAATATTGAAATAATATTTTGATCGAAATCTCAATTCCATATGGGTATTCCATAATGGGTGACGTAATATTAAAGTTTCATTTCAATTTATTTAATTAATTTAACTTTTTTTCATAATCTAATATAATCCATTATAGAAATAAATATAGCAACATATAGCAACCACGTGATATACATAAGAGCTTTCTTCATAATTTATTTCCATACTAATCAATCCATTGGTTTCATCTCATACTTGTCCTGAAGTTATTTACGAAAACTGACAGGCTTACCGAAACTGCGTTATCGAATTTCAGAATGGTTACAGGCTGCTCGGGGAAGTATACAGATCTGAGGTCAGTTATTGTCAATCCATTGGTTTCATCTCCTACCTGGCCTGAAATTATTTACGAAAACTGACAAGCCTACCAACACCGCGTTATCGAATCTCAGAATGGTTACAGGCTCCTCGGGAAGTTATGCAGTTCTGAGGTCAGGTATTGCTTAGTCTGATGAAGTGATAAACAATAATCCAGTCAAGGCGTAGAGAGAGGTTATGAAGAAACCTCGCTGTTAATAGAGAGTAAAAGTGCTCAATAATAATTAATAAAATTTATTGTAAGTAGTCAATATTTAAATATTTTAATTTTACGTTCATTTTGAACTAATCCATCATATAGGCATTCTGTTAATTATTTTCATTTGGAATTATGGCGTAATTCCGATTGTCATAGCGTTCCAATTTAACTAACTTTAGTAAAGACACAGCTATTTGAAATAACTTTTTCTACTATACAATATGATGATATAGCTTCTCCATACAGTGATGTTTGATATGTTTATGTATGTTTATATGTATATATACATAAACATACACATACATATAGCGTAATGAGGAAAATTGCTTAAATGGGCATAAAATCGGAATCGTGCTGAAGTACTATTCTATTATCGTTTTCGATTGGTAAATCTAGGGTAATGTTTTTAATCGAGATTCTCACATTTAATGCATTTTCAATGCAATTAATTAGTAAATCGAGTGTAGAACACTAGAGCGAAATGTATAACACTCGAGATTAATTTATAACATTATAGATATTTTGCTAGACCAGCAAGATTATCCTGAACTTAACAGCTGTTTTATAAGCTTTGACAGATAAACTGTGATTGGATTTGATATATGTATTTGTGAATTATATAAATGTCTACTAACAAGAATAAAAAAATGTTAGATTACTCTAAAAATGTTCGATTGATCAACAAAATTTGACAGATCGAGAGTAAATCTCCAAATTTATCAATCGAAAACGCAATTTGTTTTCATTTCTTCATTTATATAAGAAATTTGGAATGAGTTTTAGAAATATTTTATCATTATTATTGTTAGGGGATGTAGCACTGCGACCGTCGGGTCTATTGTGCCCCCTTCTGGGCTTAGACTAGGTCTTTAAGCCCTGTTGTGTCAACAAAAAGTAGTATAGAACCTACTTTACAGAGTTTTATTGCCCCTTTCGTAAGAATATACATTCCTAGAAGCTTATTTCGTATGTGCATTAGCGCAGTGCATTCTAACAGCACATGTGTAACCGACTTCTCATTCTCTTCACAGAATCTACAGTTTGCATCCGTAAGTATACCCAGTTTTGTGAACTGGTGATTTAATCTACAGTGTCCAATTAGAATTCCTGTGATGATTCAAAGTTTTTCTTTTGATTGGTTCATACAATCCTGGTATCTCTTGCTGTTATAGGTGCCAATAAGTGATTTGGATTGTTTTATTCCTGTTATATTATCCCAGTAATCCTTTTTATTCTGGTTCTCCTTTATTTTTATGAGAGAAAGGAGCGTACTATTTTCTAGTCCACAAAAAGCTTCCGGTCCCATGATCGGTGTGGCTGCTATTTTTCTGACTAGCTCGTCCGCGTATTCGTTTTCGCGTACGCCAGTATGTCCCGGTACCCAAAGAATCAACACCTAACTTGTTTCGCCAAGCAGATTTACCTTATATAGGCAGTCGAACAACTTTCTTGAAGTCACCTGATGCGAGTTTAGTGCATTGATCGCCGCATGACTGTCTGTCAGTATTGCATTATTTTGATTATCCTAGAATTTAAACCAAGAATAATAATCTCTAGTTTTTTAAGCCGCCATAATGGCATAAAATACGACCTACTTCTCTCATACAAAAATACCACTGTTGCATTACCATCGATGATAGGTATTATATACTCAAAAGCATATTTAAGAGATTTCTTACTAAGAAAACTTAACAAAATTACTATTATTAATTATTAGTTATTACTATTATTAGAAATCTATATTAGACGCCAAATAATACTTATCTGACCCTTACATGCTATTTATTTAACTTACATTTACGTTCCCACATAATACCTTAGTTTATCCATCATCTATAATTATCAAATCTCTGTTTTATTTGAACCCATAATTATAGTTGTACATCTTCATTATTTATTATCTATTTTCTGCCTTGCTCGTATGAGACAATATCTGGGAAACGACAAGAAATCCATCAATTAAAAGAAAAATAATTTTGTTATTAGTTTCTTTCTTGAACGTAGCAATGGCATACCTGTAAGCACATCTGGATATCTCGAGTGAATGGGATTATATTTGCGTATAAAATCTATGAATTTTTTAATATGTCTCTGAAATTCGTTATCGTAGATCGTGGCACTTTTTTCATTCATCTGAGATATAACTGAGTATCCATTAAAGTCGATTATACTTCATTTTAGGTTTATTTTGTTTTTTTTTTTTTTGATTAATGTAAGCGAGGCCCTAATGAAACTGCGACTCACTCACTCATACAATACAAAAGTTGTAAGCAATGAGCATGAGATAGTGTCATACATACATATATTTTAGTGCCTGTAAGTTTATGTAAATATATGTACATACCGACAAACAACTAAAATGCACAAAATACTCAGAATAACGAAATAAAAATTATTGCCTTTTTTGACATTTTCTAAGCGCGATAAACTTTGTTTGAAAGTATCTCAATTCTGTATTACTTTACGTTTGTGCTTGTGTTGGTGTATCTGTGTGAGGAATGCATTTCTGTTGTCTGACAAAATTTATGACCTTTGTCCGTCCGTCTGTCTCTCTATCTATTTGTGTACATTATTCGTTTGTTTATTTTCGAGTATATGACGGCGCGGTGGTTTCCTGTACCGCTTGCACTTTTCCAACTGCCATGCATTTATGGGTAAATGGGTAATGTAAATGAATCATTTTCTCATGTGTCCTTTCAAATTTTTCCATTTCTGTTTATTTTTTCCGCCTTTTTCGGGAATAGAATGCGTAACTGTAAATTTATTCTCCATAGATATGCGAGTCTTGAAATTTATTGCTTTTCTATAAGCATTTGTGGGCTGGGGCGAATATGTGCATCTGCGTGCAATTGAAAGCCCGCTGCCCGATTGCAATATGAAATTTTTTTTTAAATAATTGTTTTTTATTTTCTTTTAATTAGAGAGATTTTTAATAATAATTAATGGAACTCTTTTGCATTTAAGTAATTTCTGTTGTAAATTATCCAGCTATTAAAGTCTCAAA